TATTTGTACTGGCCCGACAGCTATATTGGTGATTTACACTGGCCCAGCAGCTATTTTGGTGATTTGCACTGGCCCGGCAGCGATTTAGTAGTAGCCCGGCAGTAATTTAGGCACTGTGCATTGGCCCGGCAGCTATTTTGGTGATTTGCACTGGCCCGGCAGCGATTTAGATGTCCAGCAGCGTTTGGATGTGCACCCGGCGGTGAATGTGCACCCGGCGGTGAATGTGCACCCGGCAGCAATTTAGCAAATACAAACAGTCATTTGTATCACCCTTCTGTCACCCTTTTCATCACCTTAGCAGCCATTTCTATCACCTGTTTATCACCACTGTATCACCTGTTTACCACATATTTATCACCTGTTTATCACCTGGAGAACAGTGCGCGACCGGTCACATGAACAGTGACGACCGGTCGTTTTGGAGCATATTGTAAAGAGACCGGTCGCATGAACAGTAGCGACCGGTCGTCCCCCCTTTTTTTTTTGGTTGCTTGCTTGCATGATTAAAGACATGCATGATGTAAAGTAGTTATTGTTGGCTTGTTTCCAAATTGCTTCATTGGCGTATTTTGCATGAGAGATTTTTCATTTATTCAAATGGGTGTGTCTCCAAAAGTGTAAATGATAATGACAAAAGACTTTCTTGATTCCCAACTGTAGGCATATGAGTAAGCTGAGCATAGTGTGCAACATCTGCTTGAAGTCTCGGCAGAGAGGAGAGCTTAGCACCAAGCTGCATCCGGGGGAGAGACTGATAGAGTCAAATCCTCTGGTTCCAATGATGCAATCGGAGGTCCAAAGAAATTGTTCGGAGCGCCATCAACTGTGCATGGCAGCAGCTGCGTTCTTGGATGAAAGGGAGAGAGAGAGGAACTCAGAAGTAGAACTGGTGTTGGCCTAGTTGAGCATTGGTGGAATCCATCTTGTTGCATATGAGCCATGGAGTTCGAGCTGATCCCAGACAGAAGTGATTGTCTGGTGGTGTTGAAGCGCATTGCTTGGTGATATTGTAGTCCTATTGCACATTCGTGCGGTCATGCAAGGGAGTTATGTGATTAGGACCAACGGAAGTACGAGTCGATAGGTTCGCCAAGCGATGACGGTGGTAAAGCAGACTGCTGCTTTGCCATTCTCTACACTTGTTCTCCTTCTTTGTTTTTCTTTGCATTTGGCGTGGGATGTTGCATCTCTTGTAACTGAATCTGATGGACAAGTTGCCGCCGGATCATGGCTACTTGGTTCTGCTTGAAAAGGAAGATGTCCTGAAGAATTTACAACAGTGCATAAATATATATTGATGATTATCATTTTTTTTTGTTTCGAGAGAAGTAAATATGTCCATCAGTTTATGATGAGCATGAGCACTAAACATATGCATGACTTCTATTTTATATATATATATATATAAAACAAGGCCCAGCAAGATGGCCT